CAGATTTGCTAAAAAAAACTTGTTTTACTGGAATATTTTTTGCTTTATAAAAAAATGTATTAATTAATGTTTTATAATTTTTTTTAATTTACTTGTAATTGTTTACTCTGCAATGTTTTTTATTTTCTAGATAAGTTATACTTAATGTTAATAGATTTATTTATTATTTATTTATTACAAATTAAAGTTATATAATGTAAAATAAAAAAGTCTAGCATGCTTGATCATCTAGATTACTCAGGTCAATCTGAGTCAAGCAAAAATATAACTATGATATGATAGGTTTTTTTGATTTAAGATTTATATCATAAAATAATAGTCTTGACTGAGAAAAATTTGATTTAAGTCAAATAATCCAGATCAACACATTATTTTGAAACATTAATTATAATATATCTAATAGTAGTATTTTTAAACTTTTAAAATTTATAATTATCAATATATATTATTTTTTTAATTTTTTAATTTTTAAAAATAATTTATTATTTAATAATTACAAAAATATATATAACTCTCTTTTAATGATCACTCGATCAAGAATTTTTATGTAAAAAATATATACATTTAAGGGTGGCTACAGTTTAGTCAGCAAATAAAAACAAAATTCCCTTTTTAAACTTCTTTCTCTCTTTGTTCTTCCAAAATCCTCTTATTTCAAAAAATAGATTGTATTAGTCTAAATGATAATGTTTTTTTGTTAAAATAATTTTTTTACCACTTTTCATAGCTATTTATTCTATTTTTTCTTCTTTTTCTTTTTACTGACAAAAAAGAGCATTAGGGATATTCTAAATAACAATTAGTATTAACAATAACTTTGGATCAATTAATTACATGTGTTGATTTTTCTATTACCTTTCTAAACAAATACATTCTTTTTAGATCTCTGATATTATAATGCTTACTAATTTTAGTAGAATTTTTCAGTTTTTTATAACTGTGATTTGAGCTCTATGCAATGCCTACCGATCAGTATTAGAAAGTAATATAAAATAATACAAATGATCTTAATAATATGTCATATATTATTATATCATTTTAGAGAGCAAATAACAGATAATATTTATTATTTAGAATTATATCATATGTTTTATAATGTTAGCCAGAATTATTTAAATGGTTATAAAACAAACTGTAGCAATTTAGTATTATGTCATAATAAGGTTATTCTATAACTTTAAACTATTAAAACTAAGTAACTAAAATGCTGAAATTACTGAAAAAGTTTTAAAATTTCATATATATAGATTTAGCATTAACTAAAATCTGTGGGTTACTGAACTTTTTTTTAAAAAAATATTTTGTAAGATATTTTTTAAAAAAAATTCTTTTCGCTTTAGTGCTCCCTCTATTTTTTTATTTAAAAATACCAGTTTTAATTTAAAAATAAAAAAGAACCTGAAAATATTTTAGGATTATTCTATACTCAAAATGTATAAAATAGTAAATCCGTCAGTAATTTGCTTACTTTTTTATTCTTTTTTGCTTTATAAATGTTACTAACATTACTTTAATCCTTTTTTTTTCTGAACTTGAATCTCAACTTTGAGACTAGAATTTTAAATGATAAAGTAAGATAGTGAGTTTATTTTATTTATAAAAATATCAGCTAACGTTCTTTTTTTTTATTCTTTAAGAATAATTCAAGCCTGCTAACTATGCTGAAACCTGTTTGTAAGTTTTTAGATTTTGGTGTTTTAGTAGTTTTACTACTAATAGAAGAGAAGTTTGTGTATTTTAGTCTTTATTTTTTAAGTTCTGATTTTATATTATAAATATAGAAATTTATATAAAATTTAATAACTATGTAATAAAAATTATGCTTTTTTTGTCCATTTCAATTTCTACAAAATACTAACTTGCATATATTAAATATATGAAATATGATTTGAAAAAAATGAATTAAATTATAATATACAAAAGTGCAAAAAATAAATAGATGATAAATTTTTCATGAATCTCTTGAATCTCTTAAATATCATTATTAACTTAGATTTTAAATTTAAAAACATAATGCTATTTTAGAGTTTCGATCAACAAGTTAATTATTTAATGTATTATTAATAGTAATGATAATTGTTAATGATATTTTCACTTAAAAATTATATATATTTTGTCATTTGTCATTTGCAAATGACATTTTTTTAAATGATATAAATTCTCATATCATTTAAATATCATTTAAAGTAATTTGAAAATTTGTCAAATGACAATATTATTTGATATCACATTTACTGGCAGCTGTAATCTAAATTGACAGATATCTTAGCATGAAAGTTTAAAAGTATTGAAGAGTCTCTGACAAAACTAAGTGATATGAGCATTTCTATATCAGGAGGTTGCTATAATTAGAAATTAATCAAGCAACTTAGCTAGGAACTTATTAGAGACAGATTTTTTTATTAACTTCTTTTTTGGTTTAATAATAGTTCAAGTTACTTATTTTTGTATTGAATTTAAATTTAGGATAGGAATTATTTTTAGGTAAAAGAGAGGGGCATAGTAATAACCTAGTTGCCATACATTGATGGAAACTCTATTATGATTGTTTCTAGAGTATGACAGGACAATCAGTTGGTCTGAAGTTAGTAAATTTTTAACTTGCAAGAACGTTTTAGGCAGTTCAATTTATTCTTTTGTACCTTATTTTCAGGATTTCCATGTATTAACCTATTGGATTTGAATTTCATAATAAATATGAGCATTACTGTGTCTTTAAAAAAATAATTACAAAAATATAAAATTTAGTTTATTGGATTCATCATATTAAAACCTATTAAATGATAGTATTTTTATATTTCTGAGATTGATTGATAATAAGATATATTAATTTAAAATTAAAATTTTTTTATAATAATTTTATTATTTATTTATCTTTAAAAAATCACTAGTCAATTACATAATTTTTTTTAATTTTTACTTAGAAAACATTATAAAATTTATTAGAAAATTATTAATTTTTTTTTAAAATTGCCTGCAAATTTGTAGGCAAAACAATTGAAGGGATAGTTTTATAATTTTAATTTTAATCATGACGAATTTCCGCTAATGTTATACTAACTTAAAAAGGCGACAATTCATATTTCAATATTTAATTATTTAGACGGTTGAATGTATAAGTTATTGTTTTTTTAACTCTTCGCTTCACCTTCACCTTCATATGCATATTCTTATTTATTTATTTTGTTGGTTATAAGAAATGTCTCAGGACAAAATTTCTTCCCCATTTCATCCAAAGACCACAATTTTATTCTCAAAACTGCAGCTGAACATTTTATTTCTTCCAGTCCATTAGATGACCATACCTAGTTACTAATATATAGACTTAGATATGAATCCCAATCACCCTAAACATGGAATCCTTGATCATTCGATAAAATAATACTTCGATAAAGTTTGTGCGATAAAGATCACAACAAAAATAAAATGATGTTTGCGTTTTCCAAAACTAAATTGTTTTAAAAAATTATTATTATATTTTTTTTTCGTTAGGATGATAATTTCTTTTTATTATCATCTGAAAAAATTAATAAATTTTAATCAATCAGAACTTAAATATGATATGGGTTGTGCAATAATTTTAGCAAAACTAGCTTTATTGGGATATGAAAAGAATCAAATAGTCGTAATAAATTTAGATGATTTACTATTCGATAGTTAACGTTCAGACTTGTGGCACAAAGACAAAGTAGTTTTGTAAAAAAATATATTTCGATAAATATTTTATTAATTATATGTTTGATTCAACGACTATTTCATGTTAATTCTCGGTCCAGAAAAAGTGATAAAAAATTTTTATTTGCTCATTCAATTTACATAAATTCTAGACGAATTAAAATTTCGATATAAGAAAATGTTGTAATTGAATTTTCCAAATGAGCCTTTGTATATTTTTACGTGATACAAGAATTTTACGGAAGGCTGGTGTAAAATTCTTATAATTTCACAATGTAAAGATATTGAATACTATTTTGAAGTTGAAGATAAATATGTATTTTATTAATTTTAAATTAAAAATGGTAACGATTGAAAGTTATTATTGTTAACTATAATATTTTTCAGAAAACAATAAATTCCGGTTAGACAACAATAAATCGAAAAAGAGTAATCATCGTGAAAGAACTGTCGTCCTCGCACTAAAAAATAAATAAATTTTTTTTTTAACCCTTTTAGGATCGAAAAGAGAAAATTCCGTTCCTAAACAAAGAAAAAAAGTTGAACTCCTTGACAAGCAATAATGATTCCGATTCTCTAATATAAAATGAAAGAAAAGAAAATGATTTTGTAACGATAAATCTTGAATTTTGGGATTCTTTATTCTTCCTAAATTTGCTTTAAATACGCTGAATTCAATTGCATATAAAGAATTAAATAAATTTTTTTGCTGCCGACCGATTACAACTGTTGAACACAAGACTGTACGTCGGAAAATAATAGCAATAACAGCAAAAAATCAAGAAAAACTTCAGATTTTAGCAAGGTAAAGACGTTAATAACAAGAATGTTCATTATTCATTATTTTCTATTTATAAAAAAATTGAATTCGATTTATAAAATAAATAGAAATCCGTGATTAATTATCAAAGTAATAAACAATTGGTTGTTATCGTTTTTTATATCAATAAATTTTGCATAATCTGTTACACATAATAAAATGCTTTAAAATGCATTCTTGCAGTTGTTAAATTTGTGCAAAATATAATTTAACAAACAACTTTACATATTTGAATAGAATAGTTGTTATTTTTAATTAATTTGAAGCATTTGTGCTTTATTTAGAGGAGTGTCAAAAAAAAAAAATAAAAATAAAAATAATACTGTTACCGACGATCCATTAAAGAAATGGGTTAGATCTCTTTTTTAAAATGTCCGAATAGAGTATTTATGGAAATTCATTAAGCCATTTTACAATATGGAAAAAATTTAAACCGAGGGCTGAACCGTCCTTGCATAAAAAGAGAAAAATACAATAGAACAATTGTAAAAACTCTTATTTCATAATGGTTTTAAGAAGAAATTTAGAACAAGCATTAAAAGACTTGGAAACTAGAATTAAGGAATTAGAACAAAATAACGAAGGGTTACGATTACAATTCAAAAATTTAGAGGAAAAGTTTAAAAAGCGAGAAGAAGAAACCAATACCAAGCAAGAAACAATTAACATTCTAGAAGAAAAGGCCATAGAACGAGAAGAAATAAACAAAAACAACCAAGAAATTATTAACGAATTAGAAAAAAGGATCAGAAATATTGAATCATTTATCTATGATGATACTGTTGTTAGTTTAACCATTACAGATACAAATAAGGATGACATATTAAACGCCTTAGGAGGATTGCAACGATATCGAAAACTAAATGTACTCATCTGTAGAAATACTCAAATAAATAGCTTACCAACTTTATTCGACTCCTTAACGGAACTCGATTGTAGTAATACTCAAATAAATAGCTTACCAACTTTACCCGACTCTTTAACAATACTCAGTTGTCATAATACTCCAATAAATAGCTTACCAACCTTACCCGACTCCTTAACGAAACTCTATTGCTATGAAACTCAAATAAATTGCTTACCAACTTTACCCGACTCCTTAACGGAACTCGATTGTAGTAATACTCCAATAAATAGCTTACCAACTTTACCCGACTCCTTAACGGAACTCGAATGTAGTAATACACAAATAAATAGCTTACCAACTTTACCCGACTCTTTAACAATACTCAGTTGTCATTATACCCAAATAAATAGCTTACCAACTTTACCCGACTCCTTAACGAAACTCTATTGTTGTAATACTCCAATAAATAGCTTACCAACATTACACGACTCCTTAACGGAACTCGATTGTAGTAATACTCAAATAAATAGCTTACCAACTTTACCTGACTCCTTAACAATACTCTATTGCAATAATACTAAATTAAATAGCTTACCAACCTTACCCGACTCCTTAACGGAACTCTATTGCTATCAAACTCAAGTAAATAGCTTACCAACCTTACCCGACTCCTTAACGGAACTCTATTGCTATCAAACTCAAATAAATAGCTTACCAACTTTACCCGACTCCTTAACGAAATTTTATTGTAGTAATACTCCAATAAATAGCTTACCAACCTTACCCGACTCATTAACGGAACTCCGTTGCAATAATACTAAATTAAATAGCTTACCAACTTTACCAACCTCCTTAACTGAACTGAACTGCGAAAATACTCAGATAACTAGATTACCAAATTTACCTGATTCCTTAACATATCTCAAACCTAAATATTTAAGAACTCATTATAATAATTGTGTAATACATTAATCGATAAATATCATCATTTTTATTAAATTTATTTATATAATATAAATAATTATTTTTGTTTAAAAGAATTTATTTACAAATTTATTAAATTATTACATGATTTCGTCTATATATATAAAATTTAGTAATTTCAATATTCGTATATTTTTTATTTTATTATACACTGTTATATAGTTTATTAATAATTATTACCACTTTGACGGGTTAGTGTCTTAATCAATTTTTTTTTTAGTCAGTTACGATTAATCGATTCTAATTCAAATTGATTTTTGTATAATTGATTCCAATCAATGAAATAAATTAAAAAAAACCTTACCAAATAAAAGAAATAATAAAAGTTTTATCTGAAAAAAATATTTTACCAAAAAAAAATTGAAATACTTAAAAAAAAAAAATAATGATTAAATAATAAGCTAAGCTTTTTATCAAAGTAACCTAAACTGAAAAAAAAATGAATTAGCATATGAAAAATAAGATGCTATAGAAATAAATCTGGAAAGTATAATTTATTAGAAAAGCTTTAATATAAAAATAAAAAAAAAATAATAAATCTACAATTAATAGTTGAAAAGATCTCTACCTATTTATATCACAAATTAGTTCACAATAGAAAATTTAAAATTAGTTATAATGTAAAAACAATTATATAATCTGTCATTAAATAAAAATATTACATTATATTTACTGCAGTCTGCATTAGCAACTCTTAATTTTGATTTTGAATAACAAAATATTTTTATAAATTTTTTTTTATTTATTTTGATTTATTGAATTTTAAAAATTACTAATGAATATTTACAGCATAAAAATACGTATCTATTGATTAAAATTATTTATTTACATTAGTTTTAACCAACCATCCAGGTAACATGTAGCTGAGAAGTGCTGGAATTTGAAATGAATTATATACCCTGTAATGAATTTTTTATAAGGAAATAACTTTGTCAAGCACTGATACTTTTACTTATTTTTCGATTTTTCTCAAATCATTAAATCAAAAAAGATCATCGTAAAAAAAATTACATGCCTTCAGCTTTACCAAAAATATCCCAAGCAAAAAAATTCAACTTAATTTTGATAACCTGGATTCAATGTCATAAATTTTATAAAATTACATTGCATTAACCATTGTAATTACATCCTATTTTTCGTAAAGCTCATCATACATCATTTTCATCATATGGGAAGTTTTCTAGTAAAATAATGTTACAGTTCATATGATTTACTATGTTTGTAAACTCAATTTTAATAGCAACTTCCCATATGTATAAAAAAATACCATTATATAAGAAAAATATGTATTTTTTTTTTTATTATTTTTTCAGATTGATCCCTGAATTGTTGAATCTCAATTTGATTCGAACCCTTATTTCAGTGAACCTAAAAAAATGGTATACCGTGTTTACGCGCGGCAACTTAAATGATCAAATAATCTTGATAATCATTTATTATCAAATGATGAAAAATATGGTACCTTTTGTTTGAAATGATGTATCCTACAGAAAATTTGCATAACATATGCATATGCGTAACCAGAATATTATACAATGAAAAAAAGATTGCACGAACGAAAAATATATAAATTTAACGAAAGTATTTTGTAATCGTTTTTTACGATAGAATAAATACAAAATATTTGAAATTATTTAAAATAAAATTTTAGGCATATTTGGATGTTCATGTCAAATTTAAAACGTCAAATAAATTCTTTAATAAAGAACAAGAAGATTTATCAAAGATAAGAAATCTTGGAAAATTTTAATATTTATTAAGACAGTTAAGGGTCAAAAATGTTTGAAACAGCAACCAACTATTCATATACGAGTAGATCATTTTTTTTGTTACGCAGAAAAATAAATCTTTATCTTTTCTTAATTTATCACGAATATATTTATCCATTTTAACCTTAACTTTTTCAATTGTATGTGGGTGATCAAATTGTTCAATTGATAAAAGAATTTCTTTAATATCAAAATTTAAATCACACCATGTGCTGTAGTACCAATATAAGGTTGACGACTTCTTAAAGACCAACAACCTGCAGTTAAAGCAATAGACTTAGCCTCTTCATTAATTAAAATATTTAATTCCTGAAAAGTGTAATTATAAGATTTTGATAAAATTTTATGAATTTTGTGATCTGAAGGTATAGTAACATGCGAATCAAAAAAATTAGGTAATTTATTAAAACCCAGTTTTTTTATACAGCTGATAGGTTGTATATCTTCTGAAATATAATCTAAAACTTATTGATGTGATGATAATGTGTTTGAATTTTAGTAGAATACAATTTTGTTTGTTTAGTAGAATTAACGGATTTGATCATAGTTATAATTTTTGCTTGTTTTAACTTATTCTATATAATATATATTTATTATTATTTAATATTTTATTATTTTAGTTAAACTAAATTATAAATATTATTAATATTAAAATATAGATACCTTATTTTCGATAAGAGAAATAGATAAATTTTTGTTAAAGTATGTTTGTGTGCAAGATGTTTAATTAAATTTCCTGTTGATCCAGTATCATCTCTATTAATATAAAAGTAATTCCAGACCCAACTAGTTCGTGTCTTAGTATTATTTGGTTTAGTTTTAAGCTTTTTAGCAGGTGGTTGGTTAGCATGCTACATTAAAGTCAAGTTCATTATAGACAATTCGTTTTGTTTTTGTTTGGATTTATTATTGCAAATCATAACCAAATATCAAATTAGAAATTTTTTTTAAGAAAAAAGAGAAAATCATTAGCATTAAATATTTAAAAAATATTTTTACATTAAATTTTACGAAGATCGTATACTTTTTGAATTTTTATTTATTTAATTTCAAATTTTTCGATAATTTAAATTATTATAAAATTTATACTCATATTTACGAAAAGTATACATTTTAAAATCCCAATATATTATTTATCTGATAAAAACATTAACAAAATATATTCTTACTTCTTTGGAAATAATCGTTCTAAATTATTTACAATATGTTTAAATATGAAGTATATAAATAACTACAAATTTTAAAAAAAATTTCAAATAGGATTAATGAATTGTTGACTTATGAGAGAAGAGGAAGAAAGAAGATAATAAATTATTGGAATATAATTTCGGTATTTTTTGGTTACAGTGGATAAGAAAGGACAGAATATTATGATAAGGATAAATAATGGCTTTTAAGTGATTAAAATAACTATAATGTAATTTGGCTAAAAGATTTTTTTAACTTTGATGGAAAAGGTAAAAAAGAAGATTACTTTAAAATTTATTTTTTTTATAATTAAGAAATTAAAGTCCTTTTAAGTATTTTTATCCATTAAAAAATATATAAAAGCCCAAGTAGTAAAAAAGGAGAAAGTATAAAATTATAAACTTTCGTCAAATTTTTATAAAGTAGTTCATTTCAATTTAAACACTAAAGTTTTAAAGTACTAGGGTGTTACATTATAACTAATTATCAAAATAACTTTTTTAGGAACTTTAATTTAACAAATATCGTTGTCATAAAGGATAAATATTACTTAAAATTAAAAAAATATATCGCAAGGTTAGATTTACAGTTACAATGACTTAGCAATTATCAAAACGCAAACGGCGCAACAGTATAGTTTACAACAATAGAAACAAATATCCCTTTCCAAATGTGGGAATAAACATTTTTATAATAATATAACAATTTCGTATTCGGGTCAACCCTTACAAATATAAAATGGATACAAACTGGATATTACCCATTTTTACCCATTTATTATTTTATGACCCGGATACTTATAATTATTTGGGTATATTCGGGTTGTATCCGAGTCAATGGGTAACAGGTCACAGCTCTAATTAGTATATTGAATTAAAAATTTTTTTACAGGTTTTTTTTA